AGAGTTGGTTTGGATCTCCATGGAGTAGTTCTGGGTCCTCCACTGCAGAGTTGGTTTGGATCTCCATGGAGTAGTTCTGGGTCTTCCACTGCAGAGTTGGTTTGGATCCTGCCTTGCTTTCCTTCTCTCCTCAGTGTCTGGGGTGTAAGTTAATGGTGGCGGGATGAGCTTGGACACTGCAGTTTATGTTTTCCAAGGATTGGTGTTGCTGATCCTGACCGCTCCAAAGAGGATCTTGAGAAATACTGTGCCCTACTATTTCCCAAACTAACCTAAGAATCACTTGGTACCTGTTTAATTTTTTTTTTTAATCTTCCAAAGTTCAGATTTGGGAACCCAGAGCAGCTATCCCATGGCATCACACACCTTGTACATGAGCATGCATTCTCTGTCTCTCTCTGTCTCTCTCTCTTTCTGTCTCTCTCTCCAAGTAGAAGCTTGGGAACCTGTGTCATTTCCCAGATCCCTAGATGAGTCTCGTAGGCAAGTTTGGGACGCAGAGCTCTGGCAGGATGGACTTGGCAGAGGCAAAGCTGGACATCTGTGTAATCGCATTCTCTTCTCTAATTTTCTAGCCCCCTTGCCAAAATCTGAAATGGAGGCAGAGCTCAGAGGTTCTTTCATCGCACTGAGGCAGGCTGTTTTTCAGCTGAACTTGATGGATTCCTCCTTGCTGTTCACGGTAGTTCTGGTTTCTCAGTTCTGTAGGAAGTGTAATAGGGCTGTGTGTACGGGCAGATACACATGTACCTATACATCATGGTTTTTTTTTACATGAATAATTTTACATTGCTTTAATAACTTGTTCTCACAGCTTTAGATTTCTTGTTAATTTTTATTGTTGGTTTTTTTTTTTTTTTTAAGATTTATTTATCATGTACACAGTGTTTTGTCTGCACATATCCCTGCAGGCCAGAAGAGGGCGCCAGATCTCATTACAGATGGTTGTGAGCCACCACGTGGTTGCTGGGAATTGAACTCAGGACCTTTGGAAGAGCAAGCTGTGCTCTTAACCTCTGAGCCATCTCTCCAGTCCCTATTGTTGGTTTTTTAATTATTATTTTTTTTTTTTGAAACAGGGTCTTATCTACCCCAGGCTGATCTTGAACTCACTATGTAGCTGAAGATGACCTTGAACTTGTGATCTTTCTGCATCTATTTCTGAATTACCATGATTATAAGCATGCCCTGGCATGCCTGGTTTATGTGGTACTAGGATTGAACTCAGAGTGGCCTACATGTTAGATGTACTGATTACTTTTCCTGCTGCTGTGATAACAAACCCAGACAAAAGGAAGTCCAGTGAGAAAGGGTTTAGTACCGCTCAAGTGTGAGGATGTGGTCCATCATGGTGGGGAAGTCAGGGCGGCTTGAGGTTGGTGGTCACATTATATCCACAGTCAGGAGGCAAAGAGTGAGGAAGGATCAGCTTGGCTTCTCCTTTTTATTCTCCAGGACCCCAGCCCATGAAATGGTGCTAGACATAATTGGGTGGGTCTTCTCACCTCCGTGAACCTAACTAGATAATCTTTCCCAGACATGCCCAGAGACTTGTTTCCATCAAGTTGACAACATTTGCTGTCAAGTTGACAACACTCATCATCATACCAGCCTTTAATGCTTTGTTTTGTTGTTTTAAAGACAGGATCTGAGGCTGGCCTTCAGCTTACTATACACCCGAGGATGGCCTTGAATGCTTGATCCTTTGGTCTCCATTTCCCCAGGGCTGGGATTACAGGCATCTATACACCTGTCTGCTCTAAATCAAAGAGAAACCCATAAGCCTTTTTTAGGTGGAAAAAGAAAATCACAACTTGAGTTGGGGAAACAGTGGGTGGAAACGCTTGCTGAGCAAGCCTGACCCGAGTTCCGTCCTGGGAACCCATGTAAGAGCCAGATGCTGCGGTGTGCCGCTGGAATCCCAGTCCTCCTAAGGCAAGATCTCGGGCAGAGGCAGGAGAAGGGCTCAGGGGCCACTGGTCTGGAGTACCCTGCACAGCAGCGCCAGTGAGACCCTCTTCAAGGTGGAAGACAAGAACCAGTTCCCCAGGTTGTCCTCTGACCTTGACACACACACACACACACACACACACACACACACACACAATTGTTCAAAAACAAAATCACAACTTCATTGAGGAAGAATAGGTATGAAAGAAATGTTTAACTATAATGGAAATTGAAATGTTTTCTTTTGAAGCTAGGTCACATTTTACAGATGTGTATTATATTGCTGAATATTTTTATGTTTTAAGCAATCCATACTGCATTTCAAAATACCATTTAGGCTAGAGACCCAGCTCAATGGAAGATTACTTCCTAGTGAGTGTGAAGCTGTAGATTGCCAGCTCTGCAAAGAATAAAAAAAAAATTAAAAGTACATAAAATATACTTCCTTTTAGATCTTTGGTGCTAGGAAAATATCCTTAGGTCGCTTCCTTATTTCACAGTTTAAAGGCACAGGAAGTAGGTGAGCTAGCACCGGTGACATGGCCCAGCAGCTAAAGGCACCGGCCATACAAGCCTGGTGGCCTGGGATGCCCCCTGTAAAGGTGGGAGGGGAGAACCACCCCCACCACATTCTCCTGTGACCCACCCATGTCCCAAGGCACATGTACCACCACCCCGTCCTGCCCCACACACTATTAGTAATACAATTAAACAACTTGCTTGAAATAAGTGAGCTGGGAAAAGACGCCCCCACGAATTGGTCTGGCCACCTCTCTCTAAGCCGGACCCTGCTTTGTATCTCTAGGCTCAGGCTCTTCTCCGCTGGCACGACAGCCATCAGTTCTGCAGCAGAAGCGGGCAGCCTACTAAGAAGAACATGGCCGGTAGCAAGCGAGTGTGCCCTTCCAATAAGATCATCTACTATCCACAGGTGGGGCGCAGTGGGGTGCGGCATACTCGTCATTCCATTTCTTGGGAGGCGAAGGCAGCCTGGGTTACCTGAGAAACTTTCACAGAAATCAAAGGAAGGAGCTGGAGAGACAGACGGCTTGGCAGTTAAGAGCACTGGCTGCTCTTCCAGAAGAGCTGGGTTCAATTCCCAGCACCACATGGCAGCCCACAAACCTCTGTGACTCCAGTTCCAGGGGATCCAATGCCCTCTTCTGGCTTCTTTGGGCACCAGGCATGCCTGTGGTACACGAACATACAGACAGGCAAAACATTCATACGGATAAAATAAAAATAAACAGCCAGGCATCGTGGTCAGCACTTGGGAGGCAGAAGTGGGCAGATCTTTGTGAGTTTGAGGCCAACCTGGTCTCCAAAGTGAGTTCCAGGATAGCCAGTGCTATGTAGAGAGACCCTGTCTCAGAAAAAATAAAATTAATTAATTAATCTCAAAAATATTTCTCTTTGTTTTTTGAAAAGGGGGCCTCTCTATGTCTCTATGTAGCCTTGGCTACCCTAGAATTTGCTATGTAAAATGAGAAGAGAAACTCAGGAGGCAAGGCAGGCGGATCTCTGTGAGTTTGAGGCCAGCCTGGTCTACAGAGCGAGATCCAGGACAGACGCCAAAACTACAGAGAAACCCTGTCTTGAAAAACCAAAAAAAAGAAGGAAGGGAGGGAGGGAGGGAGGGAGGGAGA